CAGTTTCCAACCGTCCTCCATCCGAAACCGAGACATCGCAATCCAGGAACGCCAACCTGCCATTTTTTACATCCTCTCGTGTGAACTTAATATATGGTGGGACTGCTTATTCCCCCTCAGGGAGACCCCTACACAACAAAAATAAACCAGAATAATGGAGATTATTCAGATTATGAACTTGATTAAAGAAAAAAAAAGTCTCTAATGTTAAGATGACCTGTTGACCTAAACCAGTTTAACTGGAACAGATTCTGTGTCTTTAAAGGCCCGTCAGGTCAAAGACTGGTCTGTGTCCAGGTCTGTGTCCAGGTCTGTGTTCAGGTCTGTGACCAGGTCCAACAGACCTGCAGGCTCCCCTCAGGACACCCACCAGCTGAGACTCTTCATCACCTGCTCCTCCTCGTCTGACGTGATGATGTCATGTTTGTGGTCAGGTACGAGCTGCAGACCATCGGCATCACGGCAGCCAACACCTGGGGTCTGTTCCTGCTGGTCCTCCTGATGGGCTACGGTCTGGTGGAGGTCCCCCGCTCCTACTGGAACGCCTCCCGACACGGACACCTCCTCATCAAGACCTACTTCAAGGCCTCCAAGCTGATGACGGAGAAGGCCGACGCMGAGGAGAACCTGGAGGACGTGATGGAGGTGGACTGGTGGGGACACATGGGGAYGGTTGGACAAGCTTTGGGTCAGGGTTGACCTGTGGTTCTGTTGTGTCCTGCTGCAGGAGGTCCGGAAGGTCAGCGAGTCCATCAAGTACAACCATCCTCTGAGGAAGTTCATCGACACCATCCTGAGAAAGGTGAGGCTCTGCTTCTGCTCCTGGTCCTGGTCCTGGTTCTGGTCCTGGTTCTGGTCCTGGTTCCGGACCTAATGTTGACATGTCCCCTCAGTGTCCCGTGGATTATCAGGACAAGATGGGTCGGAACATGGACGACTACGAGGACTTTGATGACAAACAGAACACGTACCCCTCAGAGAAGAACCTGGTGAAGCTGCACAAACAGGTGAGTCCAGGACCTGTCCCCCTGTCCCTCTGTCCCCTCTGTCCCCTCTGTCCCCTCTGTCCCCTCTGTCCCTCTGTCCCCTCTGTCCCCTCTGTCCCCTCTGTCCCTTTGTCCCCTCTGTCCCTCTGTCCCCTCTGTCCCTCTGTCCCTCTGTCCCCTCTGTCCCCCTGTCCAC